GTGTTACAGCAGAGAGTTTCCAAATCTGAAAAACAAGAATGAGTTGACTTTTTCTTTGAATTATGAATTGCCATTAAGTTTTGATTAGTTCATGATATTTATAAATTTCTCATGGGCGTCATAATACACCTTGAACCTAGTTTTTATTTCATGTATCATAAAAAAAATACGAGTAAAAAAGGTTAAAATGACGCTGTTCATGTAATTACTAGCTAACACGATAAAGCCTGCAATGCCCACTGAAACTAAGCTTGATTCCACATGCTATATATTCTTTTGTCATCACGATTACATTTCTCATAATTGAGACTAGTGCACATGCACTCGATACTTATATATATCGTTATGTACATAAAATGAGAAATTATACGATCCATACGGCAGTAAACGAAGAACAAATTAAAAAATTGAAAGGTCAATTATATGACACAACTCAAATTCTAAACGGAACTAAAATTGAGCTCTCTGGTTATGTTATAGAGTACTATTAAAAACGTACAGTAGATAAGTGTGAAGCGAGTCGACGCGGTATTATAAACCGAGTCACAACACGCGACCTCGCATATATATTAAAATCGCAATTTTATTTGTCACAAATCAAAGTCGTTGGCGTTAATTTGGTCTGATATGTAGTTTAATTAAAAACTTTGTATTGATCTTAACTCGGTTTCATCTTAAAACACAGCTGTCTTCTTATTGATCGCGTAGGTTTTTTTCTTATGTCGTCGTCTGACAATTTTAAGACATTTGACTTTACTCATAATCATCCTTTTATGTACATTTTTTTTATGCTTGTTAAGGTTGTAATCACCTTTCTATATACGATGTGGTTCTTGAGAAGCATTAAGTGTTTTTTTTTTTGTACTTTGTGTTTTGTAGTTTCTAAGTTTATGAATTCGAAAAAATTAGGAACGTTCTGGCACCACATTGTTATATGCATGATCGGCAAATTTGTGGTCCTCTTCCCTCTCAAAGATTTCGAGCACCAACAAGTTAAAAATATCTTTTGCGTGTAGTCGTTTATTATTTTGTTAGATATAGTTTTCTTTTGACTGTATACGAATACGAGTATATAGATACACGATTTGAACATTTACGGAATGTCGGTAAATAAAATAAAGAGAAATCATATATCAACGAAAATGATTGTGGTAGATGTCATTGTGATTAGCATAGCTTAACTAGCACATCCAATAGTAAAAAAAAAAAAAAAAGTGAAGTATCTATCTACTTGTATAGTTTATGAAGAATTAGAATTAGTAGTTTGGCTTTATTTCAATCTGGTGGTTGGAGATTAGTTTTCTCAGACAGTGGAAATTTCCTGATCTATTTAGCCTTGTTTATTATAAAACTAACAAAAACCAATAATTGCCAGCTAATAGCGAAATTAAAATAACAAAACTCGAAAGAAAAGAAAATAATAACGAAGATATTGAAATGGTCCCTTCTGAACAAAGCCCACCTCCAACGACTACTTTTATTCACTATAAAACCAACTCTTTTCCATGCAGAAACACAATCAATCACTTCTTCTTCTTCTTCTTCTTTCTCAAAAACCAAAAAACATTTTTCTCCAATTATTTCATCTTTGATAGTATTGGAGAAACAAAAACAGTCTTGACCGAGACTGAATATTATCAGGTGAAGAATGGCGACTCCGGCATGGAGTCATGCCAAGGCCCAATGGGTTGTCGCCATGTTGGCGCTACTCGTTGGCTCGGCTATGGCTACCGAACCTTACTACTATAGCTCTCCTCCCCCACCTTACGTGTATAAATCTCCCCCGC